ATATATATATATATTATATATATATATAATATATATATATATATATATATATATATATATATATATATATATATATATATATATATATTCTCGTGCTATCGTTACTGTCGAAATATATTTACGTCCGATTCGCCAAATACAAAGAAACATACCGTGATTGACTTCCAATCCCTCCTCAAGCACCTTCTTCAGACCATCAATATCACCCACGTGACAGTAATGGACAGCTCGATAGAACCTCTCATCGAACTCTTTAGTGTGTAGAGGTGATTCAGTTTGTCTGGGCGGTGTTATGATACGTTGAATACCCAAAGGTACAGACTTATCACAGTCGGAATTTATAGTCGCTAGTTTAGCTTGCACAGCGGCAACCTCTTCTTCTTTGGTCATCGTTATCTGTTTGCGCGGTGAGCTCGGATGTTCCATAAACTGTATTTATATGTTAGTAAACTGTGTGGTGTGTGGACTGTGGCACGCGTTAACGATGCTATTCAATGTTTACTTCTTGACTTTCTCAAAAGTTTGTTTTTGGTTCGTTCAAACGGGGCACAAGAAAGGGCTCCATACAAAGTGAAAGAGGGAAAAATATATGAGAGAGAATTCGTGGAATTTCCGAATTTGTCTCTGCTCGCGGTCGCGTGGTGTCAACACTCGACACTTGAACAATGAACACACTCTCGATAAGTCAACTATGATTTTGTTTTTCTATAAAACAAAACCAAAAAAGCAAAAATATTATTTTTTTAAGTGTATGTAGTATGACGTATGTACAAATGAATTCACATAGTATTTACATACATATAAATAGATCACGGTGTTTTTCTTTTTTTATAAAATTCGAAACAAAAGCGAAAAGAAATATTATGTGTATGTACTCACTATGTAGTACATATCAGTATCAAAATTAATTACACACGAGCCCATTGATAAAATAGGGAAAGTTCTGAATCATTAGGGGCTGTAATTTGTGCGTGTGGTTCACCATCACAACGCGCACCGCAGAGAGGGATGTGTATGTGCAAAATACCCACCTAATACGTGTTTTGTGTGTTTTTCAATGTTTGTTCGCAAAATGGTGTAAATATTGTGCCGCCTAAATAAATTAAACCAATTGAAATTAATTATGTTTTAAATACTAAAACCTGGTTGGCTATTCTATTTTTGCACATTAAAAAGGTGGCCAATAAACATATGAGCAGAACTTGATATACCTAAATGTACCAACCAAAGGAGTCAGCCGGCCTGTCCTAGGGACGGTAGTCCGTTGAGGCAAATTTTTCTTAGAGGGACATGGGGTAGGAAAAAAATTGTGTGAGTAGTGACTCTACTCTCAGAGAGTGTGTTTGTTGCCCTTGTTTGACACTTTGACTGTCTGTTTGTCGTTTGAGTTTTCGTACTTTTTGTACTCTTTGTAGTAAATTACTCTACTATCTAGTAACTCCGCTAGTAATGCATTTGTAAACTCCAAATGACGAAACAAAATACCAGCTATTGGATAACCGTAGCCAGAGTACCTGAGACTGCTCTGGACAATGGACTATAACTCACAATATACTGTGGTTCTATTGGACGGTTGGACCAGAATGAAGACTCTGACCCTATGAACGAACCAACCAACATTCCTCATAGTTTTTAGGTAGATTGAAGTCCGTTTGGATATTTAATATATATATAAATAAATATATCTATAT